CCTCTAAGGCCACACGATACTAGCCAGCCAACACACGATACTAGCCAGCCAACACACGATACTAGCCAGCCAACACTAGACCTGCTCATCAAACAGCACCAGAAGAAGAAGGGGGGGATCCTCTAAGGCCACACGATACTAGCCAGCCAACACTAGACCTGCTCATCAAACAGCATCAGAAGAAGAAGGGGGGATCCTCTAAGGCCACACGACACTAGCCAGCCAACACTAGACCTGCTCATCAAACAGCATCAGAAGAAGAAGGGGGGATCCTCTAAGGCCACACGATACTAGCCAGCCAACACTAGACCTGTTCATCAATCAGCATCAGAAGAAGAAGGGGGGGATCCTCTAAGGCCACACGATACTAGCCAGCCAACACACGATACTAGCCAGCCAACACTAGACCTGCTCATCAAACAGCATCAGAAGAAGAAGGGGGGATCCTCTAAGGCCACACGATACTAGCCAGCCAACACTAGACCTGCTCATCAAACAGCATCAGAAGAAAAAGGGGGGATCCTCTAAGGCCACACGATACTAGCCAGCCAACACTAGACCTGCTCATCAAACAGCATCAGAAGAAGAAGGGGGGATCCTCTAAGGCCACACGATACTAGCCAGCCAACACTAGACCTGCTCATCAAACAGCATCAGAAGAAGAAGGGGGGATCCTCTAAGGCCACACGATACTAGCCAGCCAACACTAGACCTGTTCATCAAACAGCACCAGAAGAAGAAGGGGGGATCCTCTAAGGCCACACGATACTAGCCAGCCAACACTAGACCTGTTCATCAAACAGCACCAGAAGAAGAAGGGGGGATCCTCTAAGGCCACACGATACTAGCCAGCCAACACTAGACCTGCTCATCAAACAGCACCAGAAGAAGAAGGGGGGATCCTCTAAGGCCACACGATACTAGCCAGCCAACACTAGACCTGCTCATCAAACAGCATCAGAAGAAGAAGGGGGGATCCTCTAAGGCCACACGATACTAGCCAGCCAACACCCAACACTAGACCTGCTCATCAAACAGCACCAGAAGAAGAAGGGGGGATCCTCTAAGGCCACACGATACTAGCCAGCCTACACTAGACCTGCTCATCAAACAGCATCAGAAGAAGAAGGGGGGATCCTCTAAGGCCACACGATACTAGCCAGCCAACACTAGACCTGCTCATCAAACAGCATCAGAAGAAGAAGGGGGGATCCTCTAAGGCCACACGATACTAGCCAGCCAACACTAGACCTGCTCATCAAACAGCATCAGAAGAAGAAGGGGGGATCCTCTAAGGCCACACGATACTAGCCAGCCAACACTAGACCTGCTCATCAAACAGCATCAGAAGAAGAAGGGGGGATCCTCTAAGGCCACACGATACTAGCCAGCCAACACTAGACCCCACCTGACACACCAGTCACCAGCAGACTCCACGCAACAGACAACGCTAGGCAACACCAACAGCAGACATTAGACACCATCAAGCACCAGCGGACATTAGGAACCAGCAAACACTAGCAAGCGACACCCAGCTACAGTTAAATAAATGCCGGTTATCGAGTCTTTTGTTTGGAATTGTTTGCTTTTCTTTCGCTTTTCTTGATTTCAATTGAGACTTTTAAAAATACACTCTGTTATATTGTTATGATATTTGTTTTTACATGCCATTTTCTCCTAGTTTTTATTTACAAACTTTTATTTAACTTGCTTCCTCGTCCCGTCTGTCTGTCTAGATCGAAACGCCAGAGTGAAATTACAGACACTTCTGACTGACAGATACGATTCAAAGTTGGCTCGTGGGTAAAGACATAAAGACAATGCAATCTGACATTAAATTTGACTTAATTTTGATGCCAAATTAATTTTTTATGAATTAATTAAAAGTGTGTCCAAATTAGTAGGCTGTCTCATCAAACTATTCCGCGTCATCGAGTTCATTAGGTGCGCCTGTTTTTTAGTCGTGCAACTCTATTGTAAAAGTAAAGTTCCCTTTTCAAACCTGACGGTCTATATGGCAAGTGAAGTAGAGTTCACTTGTTTCTGTGACCTCGGCCGCCTTTACTTTCCCTAACGTGAGTTCGGTACCCATCAGGGTTGGGTGGACAGTCTACTGACTTGAACCCGGATTAGAACTCGAGACTTACGGGTTAGCAGTCCAGCTCTCTACCGCTAGACCAGGGGTCGGCAACCTGTGGCTCGCGAGCCGCATGCGGCTCTTTTGATGTCAAGATGCGGCTCTCGAGCTCCTTACACAAATATTAATAGTTATCTATATATATAATTCTCTTCTGGGATCAGTTAGAAAACAAGCTGCAAGCGCGCCTTTGCAGTCCCCTCTCTTCCTCTCTATCACTATCACTACCACCCCCACATGATCTGGTGAGCGGTGTTCACTCTGTTTACATTTTACAATCACAGAGACGGGTTTGGTGACGGCTATTAGGGGCAGATAATTTAGTTTGAAACGATTTTAAACTTAGAGGAGGTAAGTAAGAGGAGGCTGCTTTCACTTGGGGGGGGGGGGGGGGTAGTGTTTTTAAACAAATATTTTCAATGGCAGCATTGTTACTGTCGAATTCACAAATTATAAATTACTGAAAAGTAGAAAAAAAACCAACTAAATAGCGGCGTATGATACGCAGCGGGTCGGCTCGTATTATTTTATTTTCACTGGACGGTGGGGGTACACGTTTAACCTGCTTTCAGTAGGGTGGAATATAAGCTTGGTGAGAACCAAATGACAGAAGCGGCCGATACACGGAAATCAAACCGATATCCAAGCAAGTTTTTCGGAGTTTGCCGTGTTGAGGCCTGTCTGACTAATGGGAGACACCGCCTGAGCCGGTGATATCCGTAAAAATGAAAAAAAAAAACAACCATCTTTTAAAATGGATTGGGATAATCCTATGATTATATTTTCTTATTACAAATGTTATTATTCTAGAGAAACGTGTATGTTTTTATATGAATTAATATTATTTCATATTTAAAGCTATCTATTTTAAATAACAAATCAAATTTATTTTACCTAATCCTAATTAAATACCAAATGTTGAAATAAAGATGTTAGTGGCTCTTTAAAAACTGGGAAATTTTGTAAATTGTAGCTTTTGGCTCTTCCGTCTCAAAAGGTTGCGCTTGACCACTCATTCCCTAATTCTATTGTATATTTTTAAAATTTAAAGTACTGAATTTTTTTTTTGTAAAAAACGCTTTAATAACAAGCTTTTATTAATAATGCACTAAACAGTAGAATATAAATTATACACTACTATTAAAATAACTATAAAGAAAAGCGTGAGTCCCTTCCTAATATTAGTAAAGGTATCCAATAGATAATAAAGTGACCCACGTATTTCTTCATAGTTATTATAATAGTAGGTTATAATTTATTTTCTATTGTTTAGTGCATTATTAATAAAAGCTTGTTATTAAAACGTTTTTATCAATTTTTTTACACGCTTTTATTTAACTTGCTTCCTATGTCGTTAGTCTGTCTGTCTAGATCGAAATGCCTAAATTTCGGACACATCTAACTGACAGATTTGTTTCAACGTGGCACGTGGGCCAAGACACGAAGACAATGCAACATGACATTAAATTTGATTTAATTAGTTGCCTTATTAATTTTTTATGAATTAATTAAAATTTTGACCAAATTAGTAGGTAGTCTTACCCAACTATTCCGCACTATTATACATGTCTTCACGTTCATTGGGTGCGCAATGGTTTTTAGTCATGCAATTCTATTGTAAATTTAAATTTTTTTTAAAGTAATGAAAAAAAAAATCCATAAAAAACGTTTTAATAACAAGCTTTTATCAGTGTTTCTTCCAGACTTTTTCTCCGGGGGGGGGGGGGGGGGCACTTTAAATTTTCGGGGGGGGGGGGGGGGCGGTAAATTTTCTTCGGGGGGGGGGGGGGCGGACACTGTTAAAAGTATATATTTTCTATATAAATTATATGAATTTCATTTCGTTCGGGGGGGGGGGGGGGTAAAAAAATTTCGGGGGGGGGGGGGGGGGGACTTTGCCCCCCCGAAGAGATACTTGGAAGAAACTCTGGCTTTTATGCAATAATGCACTAAAAAGTAGAAAATAAATTATACACTACTATTAAAATAACTATAAAGAGAAGCGTGGGTCTCTTCCTAAATATTAGTAAAGGTATCCAATAGATACTAAAGTGACCCACGCTTTTCTTTATAGTTATTTAAATAGTAGTGTATAATTTATTTTCTACTTTTTAGTGCATTAGTACATAAAAGCTTGTTATTAAAACTTTTTTTTAATGAATTTTTGTTTTGCTTTTCTCTCTGGGGTCGTCCATAAATGACGTCACACTCGTAGAGGGGAGGGGGTCCGTAATTTTGTGACTGGTGTGTGATGAGAGGGGGGGGGGGGGGGGTCAGATGGCGCGACGTCACACTTTAGCATTATAAAAAGCAATGTTAGAAAACGAATTTTAGACGTTATTTTGCGTATTAGAAAACCGTTTTAATAAATTGTAATAGGAATTGATTAAAATACTCTATTCTGACAGAGTTCAGACAAGATTTTGGAAAATATCGATGTTTAAAAAAAAATTCAACTGCAATTTTGAAGGGGGGGGGGGGTTGTAGGGTGAGGTCTGACGTCATTTTAGGGGGGGGGGGTCTGGCTTTTTGTGATGACGTGTGACGGAGGGGAGGGGGGAGATAAAAATCTTCAAAAAAAGCGTGACGTCATTTATGGATGACCCCTCAAGTATACAGAACTTAGAGGTCTGTAGATATACCCCCACCCCAAAAAAAAAAAAAAAAAACAAAACAACAACGACGAACGGGCGCCTGATCCAGGTAGGGTTTTCGATTCTGGCCTTGATATTTTGACGCCTGGACAAAAATCTGAGACTCAAACACAAGAGTTGGTTTCACTTTTATTTGCTCGTGTTTGTTTCGTCTCACTAGTGGACTGTCGGTTGTGTTAGTCACATGACTTTTCTACTGGTCCGTCTGGTCACATGACCTTGGTCTGGTCACATGACCTGTCTACTGGTCCGTCTGGTCACATGACCTTTCTACTGGTTCGTCTGGTCACATGACCTCTGTCTGGTCACATGACCTTTGTCTGGTCACATGACCTTTCTACTGATCCGTCTGGTCACATGGTCTGCAGCTGCAGTAGAGCGGCTGGGTCAAGCTGACCACCAGACGTTTCCTGACCCTGCCCGGGCACGAGAGCTCGTAGGGCACCGTGACGAGTCTCTCGGGTGAGCAGCAGGTGCAGTGACGCAGCATGCGCGTGCTGGTCATGGTCCAGTGGGGGACTGACCTTGAGTGGCACTGACCCGAACACACGGTGGCCACCACCATTGTCGTGACACACCCCGCTAGGCTGACCTTGACCCTGTAGGTGTTCATCTGACATTTGCGCGAGGGTGGTGATATTAGGGTGCCAACAATCCCCTCCCCCAGAGGCAGCATCCGTTTGCTTAATGGCATGCTGACTTCCGGATGGAAGTCTTTCCATTCAGTCAAGACATCCGGCGGCAAGTCAGTCTCATTAGCACCTGAAGTTTCTCCAACTATTTCTGGAACTGTTTCTGGAGGTGTTTCTGATTGAAGGAGATCATCAGCTGAATCTTTATAGCTGCTAACAATGGCGTCTACATAGGGCAGTCGGCCTTGAGCATGCGCAGAAGTCATGTCCCAGTTGGCGGCGACTTGCTGTAACTTGCTGGAGTTGCTAAAGAAAAGCTGCACCACGAGACCCCGGGGACTTCTCTTTACCCGGGGACGTTTGACACTAGCGGCACCAGGCACGGTCAGGCCAGACTTGACCAGACGACCCAGAAAAGCGCGCGCTGACCTCTGGACGAGACTCGGACACATGACCTTTTGTCTGGCCGTCTGACCTCGAGATTTGTGCCAGTCTGGCAGCTCAAGGTCAGCCGTCTGGAACTTTAGGCCGCTCCCAGCCGCAATTAGCTCGTCCCTAGGAGCATTAGATGACGTCAGTTCCTTTGTAGAAGCATGTGGTGACGTCATTCCGTTTCTAGGAGCATTTGATGCCACGTGAGAAATCATAAAGGCCCATATGAAGCAGCAATTCAAACAACCAGGAGACGAAAATTGTAGCATCTTGTCAACAACCTGCAAGACAAATGGTGGAAATAACAAGACAGGTCTGGCTGTAGACAAGACAGGTCTAACCGTAGACTTGACAGGTCTAACTGTAGACATACACACACACAGACATACGGACAAGATTGCAAAACAATGTTTGTTTTTCACGATTACAATACTTTCTCTATACTTCGTATACGAGAAAGTAAAAAGCAAAAACCAATTACTGAAACTACGACTTACAAACTATCTTGTTTGGTACCCAAAACATTTTTACTAACTCATGGCATGTAGATCTATATCCTACTTCTTGGCTAACGTATCGGCGCCTAGCTCAGCGCCAAACATGTGCGAGGCGCTTTTTATTACAAGCTTTTATTTAACTCACTTCCTCGTCAGTCTGTCGTCAGTCTGTCTGTCTATATCGTAACGCCCGTGCGAAATTGCAGGCACTTCTAACTGACCGATACGGTTCGTAATTGGTACGTGGGTCAAGACATGAAAACAATGCATCGTGACATTAAATTTGACTTAATTGGTCGCCTAATTAATTTTTTATTCGTTAATTAAAATTTGGACCTAATTAGTAGGCAGTTCTATCCACACGCATCATCACGGCCGTCTTGGGCGTGGAGCGAGGGGGGGGGGGGGGGGGGGCTCTACGACAAAAGCGCGTCCTGACGTTCAATAGGCGCGCAATGGTTTTAAGTCGGGTCAACAGTCTAGTTCTTTACCACTAGACTACGCCATCCCATAATACTTTACTGAAACGTTAGCTATAAACTTGACCACAAACTGAACAGTATTAATTTCTTCGGTTAAAGAAGTGTTAAAGATTTGTGTTCTATGATATGTGTTCAGCTAATTGTGGCAATTTTTTTATTGTAACTAAAACATTAGTAAATGTGACACGTATAGTAAAACTAATCAAATTATTAAAGCAAAACTGTTTTTCAAATTGTGTATCATATATTTGTCGCTACACTATATTGTCTTAACATGCGTATAACTCGTTAATACTAAAAAGTATAAAAATAATAAATACATAAAAACGTTTTATAATTACAAGCTTTTATAAACGCACTAAAAAGAATTGCGAGGTGCTCTTTTCTTTCTAGGGAGGCCTATTCACTTCGGTTTTAAGGTCAGTCTAGTAAAGTAGGCGAATTGTTTACCTGAATAAATGTACAGTCAAAATAAACACATTCTCACACAACTTCAAGAACTTGACTAAGATTCAAGATGATCAGCCAGTACAGATGTACTAAACTTAACTAAACGAACATATACTTAAATACCTCTAATAAATTTAGTTAAAACATATAAAAACACTGGATAATAGTATAACTGCCCCCAAAAGATGAATAAGCAAGCTTCAAATAAAGAATAACAATAGTTGTTTATAATTCGATCATACAGAATCATAGCTTTTCCATCAGGTAAAACTCTGTAAATATTGTTTTTGTAATTACCAGTTAATAAGGTTGTGCGAGCAATATAAAACTTACTCAAGGGAGATAATTCAAAGTATAGGCCCTAAAAGTTTACTTTGACATTTCTTGTAAAAGCAAAAACAAGAAAACGTATATAAAACATATATATTACATAATACAAGTTCTACCAATATCACAAACACATTTAACATAGAGAAATGTACAATGGATTTCGGGCCCCTAACCAATGCCGCAAAGAAAGTACTGTACATCATGAAAGCCCGCTACTTATCTAGCGGCTTCTCGAGCAATGGACTTAGTTGGTTTTTTTTCGAAGAATTTTTACCGTCGACAGCGTGTGTTTGGTTGCAGGGGAAAAAGAACTCGGCCCCTACGATGGTTAAAAAAAATACAATTATAAATAACTTTTAAAAATATATAAATAATTTGACGACAATTTTTGAGCCATCTACTTGGTCCCCCCCTCCCCCTGCCCCATCCGCCACAGTCCACTTTGGAGGATCGGTTGAACAGTTACGTGTCTCTTACTGGCTATCAAAGGGGAGCAATGAGTCACATAAGTCATTAAAATTTGAGGTTTTGCCTATATTTTACACTACAGTTTGTGGAATGGATTATATAATGTTTGCAGAAGATCGTGGTATAGTGACTGTAACATAAAGATAAAATACCGCAGCTACAGTTTTTTTTAATAAACTAATCAGCAAGGCAAAAATACGAAAATTTTTACGGACGTCATAAATGGATGATTAAAAAAACCAATGAAAGAACAAAATTTCCGAAAGAACACACGCACGTGTCAAAAAAAAAACAACAACACACGCACTAGGCACAAAAAGAACACACGCACTAGGCACAAAAAGAACACACGCACTAGGCACAAAAAGAACACACGCACTAGGCACAACAAGAACACACGCACTAGGCACAAAAAGAACACACGCACTAGGCACAAAAAGAACACACGCACTAGGCACAACAAGAACACACGCACTAGGCACAAAAAGAACACACGCACTAGGCACAAAAAGAACACACGCACTAGGCACAAAAAGAACACACGCACTAGGCACAAAAAGAACACACGCACTAGGCACAACAAGAACACACGCACTAGGCACAAAAAGAACACACGCACTAGGCACAAAAAGAACACACGCACTAGGCACAACAAGAACACACGCACTAGGCACAAAAAGAACACACGCACTAGGCACAAAAAGAACACACGCACTAGGCACAAAAAGAACACACGCACTAGGCACAAAAAGAACACACGCACTAGGCACAACAAGAACACACGCACTAGGCACAAAAAGAACACACGCACTAGGCACAAAAAGAACACACGCACTAGGCACAACAAGAACACACGCACTAGGCACAAAAAGAGCACACGCACTAAGCACCAAAAGAACACACGCACTAGGCACAAAAAGAACACACGCACATGGCACCAAAAGAACATACGCACTAAGCACCAAAAGAACACACGTACTAGGCACAAAAAGAACACACGCACATGGCACCAAAAGAACACACGCACATGGCACCAAAAGAACACACGCACTAAGCACCAAAAGAACACACGCACTAGGCACAAAAAGAACACACGCACATGGCACCAAAAGAACACACGCACATGGTACAAAAAGAACACACGCACTAAGCACCAAAAGAACACACGCACTAAGCACCAAAAGAACACACGCACTAGGCACAAAAAGAACACACGCACTAGGCACAAAAAGAACACACGCACATGGCACCAAAAGAACACACGCACCTACCTGTAAAACGCTAGACTAGCCACCTAGTAACGAGGTGAGACTATATAGTCCACATTAAGACCAGGTGAGACTATATAATCCACCTTAAGACCAGGTGGGCGGGGTCAGTCTGAGGCTAGCTGGTAATTGCCGGCATCCAACAGGTAATTGCCGGCTTCCCGTACCGGACTTAGTCGTGTCGTCGCATAATCCTCTGCGAGAAACTTTTCTTCGTATTGAGTTCAAATTTTTTTTTATTAGAATTTTTTTTCGACAATTTTATTTTAGGTTCATGTGTTTGCTGAAGGTGTCAACATTTAATTTATTTTGATGTAACGAAACACACACACACACACACACACACACACACACACACACACACGCACACACGCCCCCCCCCACATATATATGTATGTATATGTAAGCGGTCAGGTAGTGTGTCAGTCTTTACGTTATAGCTATAGAATCTAGAACCACATGCCGTGATTTTTCTTGCCTAGCATTGTCTAAGTATTGGGGTAGGAAATAATTATGTAACGGCTTACATTTTGTGATCGCCGGCATAGTTTTTACTAATTTTACGTCATTAAAAGTACGTGAAGAAAATATTAAATGCACGCACATTGCTTAAACACATACTAAACCGACCAATGCCAAATGATATTTTCGCTTATATTAAAAATTGACACATTTTAATAATAGTAAGGTTGAAAAACTAATTAATTAAAATGTTTAATAATTTTGCCAGGGGAGGTAATTAAAAGAGAAATTCAACTCGTGCTAAATTTTGCTACTTAATTAAGTAAAAAAAAAATAAATCGTGAATGTCAATTGCGCGGACCTCCGTGACAGCTTTATTGTTGGAATACACGGCCGTTTGTTTGATAAAGCCATTTGATAAAGCGTTTGCGTTTGTGTTTACTTTTGTGTTCGTATTTTTGTTTATGTTTGTGTTTGCATGGTGCATGTTGCGTGTTGCATCTGTGTTTGCGTTTGTGTTTGCGCTTTCGTTTGTGTTTTTTTGCATTTGCGTTTCCATTTGCAATTGTGTTTGAGTTTGTGTTTCTGTTTCTGTTTGTATTTGTGTTTTTTTTGCATTTGTGTTTGTGATGTTTATGTGTTAGTTTTTGCGTTTGTTTTTTTATGTTTGTGTTTGTGATTGCGTGTTGCGTTTTCAATTGTGTTTTTATTGCATTTGCGCTTGCACTGTGTTTGAATTTGTGTTTGCGTTTTATTTTGTGTTTGTGTTTGTGTTTGGTTTTGTTCTGTCCCCAAGCTGGTACATTTTAAAAAGATTCACATTGGCAGAGCACGGGTATTCTGCTGGTATATATATATATATATATATATATATATATATATATATATATATATATATATATATATATATATATATATATATATATATATATATATATATATATATATATGTAACCGGAATCGTGTTTCTATTTCCAAATTTCTATCATTATATCTTAAAACCTTTACTAAGAGAATACCATCTGTTTGTAGGCTACTTTCTCGAAAAACAAGCGGTTTGTAACAAACAGTCCGATTCCACTTGATATGCTATATAACCGTTATATAAGTATATACAACCAGCACTGTTATATAAGAATATACATGTACGAGAAAACAACAGGATCTGAGTCCGGCTTTATTCTTCAGATGCAATTAAATGTTTAATTCCAACACGTTTTACAATCATGCAATTAAATGTATAATTCCAACACGTTTTACAATCATGCAATTAAATGTATAATTCCAACACGTTTTACAATCATGCAATTAAATGTATAATTCCAACACGTTTTACAATCATTCAATTAAATGTATAATTCCGACACGTTTTACAATCATGCAATTAAATGTATAATTCCAACAATTATTGACTTGACGTTTGTTTTGTCAAAATTTTAGTTGTCTGTCCATATGGATCAAATTTGATAGAAACCACACAGTCAATATGTCCACCCAACCCTATTTCACGCCCTCAATATGTCCACCCCAACCCTATTTCACGCCCTCAATATGTCCATCCCAACCCTATTTCACATCTTAATATGTCCACCCCAACCCTATTTCACATCTTAATATGTCCACCCCAACCCTATTTCACGCCCTCAATATGTCTACCCAACCCTATTCCACGCCCTCAATATGTCCATCCCAACCATATTTCACATCTTAATATGTCCACCCCAACCCTATTTCACGCCCTCAATATGTCTACCCAACCCTATTCCACGCCCTCAATATGTCCATCCCAACCATATTTCACATCTTAATATGTCCACCCCAACCCTATTTCACGCCCTCAATATGTCTACCCAACCCTATTCCACGCCCTCAATATGTCCATCCCAACCATATTTCACATCTTAATATGTCCACCCCAACCCTATTTCACGCCCTCAATATGTCTACCCAACCCTATTCCACGCCCTCAATATGTCCATCCCAACCATATTTCACATCTTAATATGTCCACCCCAACCCTATTTCACGCCCTCAATATGTCTACCCAACCCTATTCCACGCCCTCAATATGTCTACCTCAGTAGAAAGAAATTCTAGCAAGTTTGAGAAATTCATCGAATATAGGCTCCCACAGTATCTATATTGTAGAGTGCTCTTTAAAACAAGCGTAGGCGTCATGGTGCTCAGGGTGCACCGGGCATAGGACCGCGGGGGTGCCAAACCACACCCCAAATGCTGGGGCGCAATATTTAAAGATTTCCTTATTGCGTACCAATTGTGTATTTTTAGATGCGTGACCTAGTTTTCTAATAATGAGTCTGTATGAACGCTTAAGTTAATCACTGCCCGTAATAGTTAGGTAGAACACGCCCCGGCAACCTCTATTAGGGGCGTCGAGGGGCGCACTCCGAGTCACTGGTTACACTACATCAAGGGCGCCGGGTGCCTCTCTTTATTCATCCAATGGCGCTCTTTAAAACTAATGTAGGCCTTAGTGCTCTCATGAGATTCCGGGGTGCTCTGGGTCACTCGACCACCGAACGCGTCTGGTATGATTAAGCCAACGATTATAGTAGTCCACCGTATCTCAAGTGCAGTGTTTCTTCCAGACTTTTTTTTCCGGGGGGGGGGGGGGGGGGGCACTTGAAATTTTCGGGGGGGGGGGGGGGGGGGCGGCGGACACTGTAAAAAGTATATATTTTCTATATGAATTATATAAATTTCAATTCGTTGGGGGGGGGGGGGGCGCGAAGAGATGCCTGGAAGAAACTCTGCTCAAGTGCATGGCGTTCTTTAAAACGATCGTACAAACTATAGTGCTCGTGGGGCAGCACGGAGCGCCAAATCGCACCATGTCGCGCCAAATTCCACGAAATCAGCATATATAGAAGCACAGCGTATTCTTAGTGTATGGCACTCTTTAAAACAAACGCAGGTGCCACCGAGCTCCTGGCGCAGTTTGACAGTTGAATCGGGTAGTACTCAGACCTCTTGAGCAGGACATCCAATAAACGTATCCTACAGGCTAAGAAAGGAGTTTTCTAATATATATATATATATATATATATATATATATATATATATATATGTACGTACACGTACACGTACACGTACACGTACACGTACACGTACACGTACACCTACACCTACACGTACACGTACACGTACACGTACACGTACACGTACACGTACACGTACACGTACACGTACACCTACACGTACACCTACACCTACACCTACACGTACACCTACACGTACACCTACACGTACACCTACACCTACACCTACACGTACACCTACACGTACACCTACACCTACACCTACACCTACACGTACACCTACACGTACACCTACACCTACACCTACACCTACACCTACACCTACACCTACACCTACACCTACACCTACACCTACACCTACACCTACACCTACACCTACACCTACACCTACACCTACACCTACACCTACACCTACACGTACACCTACACCTACACCTACACCTACACCTACACCTACACCTACACCTACACCTACACCTACACCTACACCTACACCTACACCTACACGTACACCTACACCTACACCTACACCTACACCTACACCTACACCTACACCTACACCTACACCTACACCTACACCTACACCTACACCTACACCTACACCTACACCTACACTTACACCTACACCTACACCTACACCTACACCTACACCTACACATACACCTACACCTACACCTACACCTACACCTACACCTACACCTACACGTACACGTACACGTACACCTACACCTACACCTACACCTACACCTACACGTACACCTACACCTACACCTACACCTACACCTACACCTACACCTACACCTACACCTACACCTACACCTACACCTACACCTACACCTACACCTACACCTACACCTACACCTACACCTACACCTACACCTACACCTACACCTACACCTACACCTACACCTACACCTACACCTACACCTACACCTACACCTACACCTACACCTACACCTACACCTACACCTACACCTACACCTACACCTACACCTACACCTACACATACACCTACACCTACACATACACATACACATACACCTACACCTACACATACACATACACATACACATACACATACACATACACATACACATACACATACACATACACATCTCATACACATCTCATACACATACACATACACATACACATACACATACACATACACATACACATACACATACACATACACATACACATACACATACACATACACATACACATACACATACACATACACATACACATACACATACACATACACATACACATACACATACACATACACATACACATACACATACATATACACACATGCATACATTTGAATTATACTTATATATACTTAAATTTATTACATTTGAATGATACTTATATATACTTATAATTATTAGTAATTAACATATTAATTAAATCTACGATTTAATTTTTTTGTTGTATGACATTTGTTTTTGTTTATTTAAATATGTATAAAATAAGACTAAGATATGTTATTTATTTATTGTTTCATCGTTCATTGTAATTTAGTTAGGTTTTCGGCTTTTAAATATAAAATAGCAAGTATGGTCAAAGGGGAAC